ACTGAAAATAAAAATGTGTGAGCAGAGATGCTTTAGATGAGATGACAATATTAGGGGAAAAAATTATTTTCGATGGGAAAAAAAAGTGATCATAATTCTTGTGTAAATATTAATTAGTGCCATGAAATTCTCTCAAAATACAAAACTAACAAAGAAAAAATATTATCAAACAAAAATATATTACATTGATTTTACTGAAAATAAAAAAAAAATAATATTTCAGGTGTTCAAACTTCAAGCTTTTAAAAGTAATTCAAATTTAAAACGACTTCAAACTTCAGGCTTTTTAAACTGATTCTCAAGCAACATAACGTTAGTCTTGACTATCATTTTAATCTAGTTCTTCTTTTGTGAGAAATGAACCGGTTCTGCTTCAGAAACAGGAGAAGAAGTGAAATGTGTGAACAGAGATGCTTCAGATGAGATGAACATATTAGAATTTTTTTTTATTATTTTCGATGGGAAAAAATTGATCATAATTATTGCATAAATATTCATTAGTACCATGTAATTCTCTCAAAATACAAAAATAAAAAAGAACAAATATTATCAAACAAAAATATATTACATTGATTTGACTGAAAATAAAACAAAGTTACATTTCAGGTGTTCAAACTTCAAGCTTTAAAACGCAATTCAAATTTAAATCTACTTCAAACTTCAGGCTTTTTAAACTGATTCTCAAGCAACATAACGTTTGTTTTAACAATCATTTTAATCTAGTTCTTCTTTTGTAAGAAATGAACCGGTTCTGCTTCAGAAACAGAGGAGAAAAAGTTCAATGTTTGAGCAGAGATGCTTCAGATGAGATGAACATATTAGAAGTTTTATTATTATTATTATTTTCAATGGGGGGAAATTTATCATAATTATTGCATGAATATTAATTATTATCATTAAATTCTCTCAAAATAAAAAATATTATTGAACAAAAATATATTACATTGATTTTACTTTAAATAAAAATGTGTGAGCAGAGATGCTTTAGATGAGATGACAATATTAGGAATTTTTTTTTATTTTTGATGGGAAAAAGTGATCATAATTATAGTGTAAATATTAATTAGTGCCATGAAATTCTCTCAAAATACAAATTAAAAAACAAAAAATATTATCAAACAAAAATATATTACATTGATTTTGCTGAAAATAAAACAAAGTTAAATTTCAGGTGTTCAAACTTCAAGCTTTTAAAAGCGATTCAAATTTAAAACTGCTTCAAACTTCAGGCTTTTTAAACTGATTCTCAAGCAACATAACGTTAGTCTTGACAATCTTTTTAATCTAGTTCTTCTTTTGTGAGAAATGAACTGCTTCTGCTTCAGTTGTGCAGCTGCTGCTGAAGCTCAGGATCAGACGGGTTTGTCAGATTCAGGGCTGGAAATGAAGCTGCTTTGCTCTTATTAGAGAAGCAGAATGAATGTTGATCAGTTATTAGTTATTGATCAGAATCTCTGTGTGATTAATGATGGCTGACAGCTGTCCGTCATCCATCACTGCAGCAGATCTGCGGCTCTTCCGGAGCATTCTCAGCTTCTGTTAGTGGAGCAGCTCTGACTGTTATGTTTGATAGAGCAATACTGTGCGTTCTCTCCTCTATGCTGCTGATTGGAGTTATTTACAGATCAACAGAAATAATAAGAATGAAGTGAATACCACTATCATTGTGCTGGAATGTGCTGCTGTAAAGATATTACATTAGACATCAGACATGTTCATTTCTCAGTGCAACCATAGCACACATTTAGAGAAAACTTAGATCTGTGTTGTTTCAGTATAACGTCTGTAATAATGTTCTCTCATACATGTTTCTTATGGCCATATGTTTAATCAGCAGCAGCACTGAACACTGTTTGTCAAGAGTTTATGGAAAGAACAGCTCATGTTGAGTCTTACTTTCCCCTTTAACTGAATAACCTTCAGCTGTCAGATATTTTAAAGCTGTGAACTCAGGATATATTCACACAGACACAGGTTTCATGTTTATATGTAATCGTATTCATCTATTCACTTCTCCTGAATGCTAGTATAGTTTAGTACCAACCAGTCCCATTAGCTAATCAGAATTGCTCTCATCTTTATGTGGATGTTTGTTTTTGTGTAGAAAAAGAAGACTGGAATACATTCTGCTCAATCATCAAGTATTAAGGTTATATTAGAAGAAATGAAGAATGGTGAGTGTGATATATCATGTTGTTTCTCTCCTCTCAGGTGTTCATGCGTTCCAGTTCATGTACGGCTGTGAGCTGAATGATGATGGCACCAAACGAGGATACCTGCAGTTTGGTTATGATGGAGAGGACTTCATCAGCTTTGATAAGAACACCCTCACCTTCACAGCTGCAAATCCTCAAGCTGTCATTACCAAGAACAAATGGGAATCCACCAGAGCAGAGGCAAATGTCTATAAAGCATATCTGGACAATGAATGCATTGAGTGGCTGCAGAAGTATGTGGGTTATGGGAAGGACACTCTGGAGAGAAAAGGTAGGAATATCAGTTGTTTGATAATCACTGCATAGTGAGCATTCATCGTTACAGCCTTTACCTTTTCACCAGGAAATAACAGTTGTATACAACAAACTGTTTGGTTATGTGTGACTGTATCTCCTTTACACTCTCTTGTCTTTATACTCCCTCTGCATTCACTTGCTTACAAACTAAAACATGTAAATGCATACAAGATGTTAGAAGGTTGTTTGAATCACATTTTGCTATTTATGATATGATCATGCATTATGTTTAATGCTGTTGCATATAACCATGCATAGCTGGTATTTATGAGGGATTTTTATCATACAGCAACCCTACACCAATTGATTTTTCCCATAAACACGAGGCCAGGAGTGAAACACTATTAGAATAATCTAACAGATGGATATGCTTACATGCACTCATTTTTGTCAATCTGAAAGAATCCAATCGATTTCAGATTCTGAAAGTTCTGTTTATATAAACCCTTTGCAATCCAATTCACATGTTCGTTTAAATGCTCATATGTATTTTGTACAAAACGTCAGTCCATGCAGTGCATCAGACACCGCTAGAAAGAACTGCTATAATGTCACTGGAGCGACCGTCAGTATAATTGTCATTTTTGTCCTGATGACTTACCTAAAAGAAAAGCTGACAAATATGTCAGAGGAATATTTATTAAATACTCAGTCTCCTTCACTGACCAGTTTGTAAG